CACTATGGAGCACAGTTCTCTGTGAAGCACATGGCATCACCATGAGTCAAAATCAACTGGATGGCAACTGGTTTGGTTTTTTTTGTTTTGTTTTGTTTAATTTGCAGATGATTGTGAGGTTGGTGTAGATACTCTCATTTTACTGATCGGCAATCTAAGGTCTGAGATGTTAAGTGGTCCAGTGTTCTCTCCACTACCCCATATTAGAGCTGAGAAGTTCTCCTGGGAGGTGCATGGGATAACAGTGCCACCATTTAGAAGCTGACTCAGCGGCTTGCCTGAGTAGACTGTGCTCCATTGGAAACCCAACAAGAGTGTTACATCTTACTTTTTTTTTTAAATAAAAGTAATATGTGCACATGGTAAAAATTTCAAACAGTACTGAAAGGTGTAAGATGAAAAATAAAGTCTTTCTCTCCACCATCTCCATGCCTAGCCCTAGTCCCAAAAGTGACAATTCCTAAGAAAATTTTCAGTGCTTACTATGCAGAATATTTTTGTGATCCTCAGTGACTTTTAACACACCAGATGGCAAGGAGATTCAAAACCATGTCTTGTGAGGAATAGTTGAAGGAACTAGAAATGTATAATCTGGACAAGAGAAGACTCAGCAGGGGCAGGAGTACTGTCTTCAAATATCTGGAGGACAGTCAAGTGAGGGAAGGACTAATGCTGTTCCAAATGGCCCCAGAGGTCACAGCTGGAACCACAATATTGGAGAGGCAGATTTTTGCTCAGCAGAAGGAAAGACTTTCACACCGCTACAGCCATCTCAATAAGGGTAAGGATTCAGAGGTTATATGACCACTTAGCAAGGATATGGTAATGATAACAGAAGCATTGGGGGAAGGTCTTCAAACTCCAGGTCATAATGGTGGGTGTGGAAATCATTTTAGATAATCATGTTGAATATTTTTAAAGAAATAAAATAAGCACAACTCAAAGAATGTAATCAATGTCACTAAATGGTACATGTAGGAAAAAAAAAATCAACTATATGAGACCAAAAGGTCAAAAACTACTATAAAGCAAAGGTGATAAGGTAAGGGGGCAGGGAAACCAGAGTACTGGAAATGGTATAAGCCAGAATGGAATGAATGAGAATGATGACACATTGTGAAAAATGTAACCAATATAAGTGAACAATTTGTGTAGAAATTGTTAGATGGGAACCTAATTTGCTGTGTAAACTGTCACCTTAAACACAATAAAATATTATTTTTTTAAAA